AGAAGAAGAATTAAGAAGAAGAATTAAGAAGAAGAAGAAGAAGAAGAACGAATTAGAAGAAGAAGAAGAATTAGAAGAAGAATTAGAAGAAGAAGAAGAAGAAGAATTAGAAGAAGAAGAATTAGAAGAAGAAGAAGAAGAAGAATTAGAAGAAGAAGAAGAAGAAGAATTAGAAGAAGAAGAAAGAAGAAGAAGAAGAGGAAGAGGAAGAAGAAGAAGAGGAAGAGGAAGAAGAATTAGAAGAAGGAGAAGAAGAATTAGAAGAAGAAGAAGAATTAGAAGAAGAAGCAGAAGAATTAGAAGAAGAAGAAGCAGAAGAATTAGAAGCAGAAGAATTAGAAGAAGAAGAAGAATTAGAATTAGAATTAGAATTAGAAGAAAGAAGAAGAAAGAAGAAGAAAGAAGAAGAAAGAAGAAGAAGAAGAAGAAGAAGAAGAAGAAGAAGAAGAAGAAGAAGAAGAAGAAAAGAAGAAGAGGAGGAAGAAGAAGGAGGAGGAGAAGGGGGGGAGGAGGAGGAAGAGGAGGAGCTCCTTGAGTGTGTCCCAGATGGATAACATCTCATGGCACTAACATGAAACCCATGTGCAGTGTGGTGGGAGTTCAAAATGGTGCAGCCACTATGGAAACCAGTATGGGGGTTCCTTGTGAAGTTAAACATAGAATTACCATAAGATCCAGCATTTCCACTTCTAGTTATATGCTCCCAAAGAATTAAGGGGCTCAAACAGTACTTGTACACCAATGTTCCTAGCAACATTATTCACAATGGACAAAAGGTGGAAGCAGTCCAGGTATCCATCAACAAATGAATGGATAAACAGAATGTGGTATGTCCATACAATGGTATATTATTCAGCCTTAAAAAAGAAGGAAATGGTGATACCTGCCACAGCATGGATGAACTTTAAAAACGTTACGCTAAGTGAAATAAGCCAGACACAAAAGGGCAAATACTGTATGATTCCACCTAGATGTGGTATATAGAGCAGTCAAATTCATAGAGACAGAAAGTAGAATAGTGCTTTTCAGGGGCGGGGGGGCAGGAGGGAATAAAGAGTTGTTGTTTAATGGGTACAGAGTTTCCCATTTGGGATAACCAAAAAGTTCTTGGGGAGGATGGTGGTTAAGGTTGCATAACAATATGAATATACTTAATGCCACTGAAATATGCACTTAAAAATGGTTAGGATGGGGGCACCTGGGTGGCTCAGTCGGTTAAGCATCTGCCTTCGGCTCAGGTCATGATCCCAGGGTCCTGGGACTGAGTCCCCCATCGGGCTCCCTGCTCAGCGTGGAGCCTGCTTCTCCCCCTCCCACTGCAGCTACCCCACTTATACTCTCTCTCTCTGTCAAATAAATAAATAAAATCTTTAAAAAAATGGTTAGGATGGTCAATTTTATGTGCTGTATATTTTACCACAATTTTTAAAAATTTAAAAACTTTAAGAAACTGAAGGCCAAAAAGACTTTTCTTGACATTCCAAAGCTTAAAGAATTTATCATCAGCAGACCTGCAAAACAGGAAATGTTACAGAAAGCCCTTCAAGCAGAAGGAAAAAGATACCAGATGGAAATGTGGATCTACATGAAGGAAGGAGAAACACCAGAAATGGTGACTATTTAGTAACCACCAGAAATGGTGGG